ATTTATCATAAGGCAAACAAGACCGAATGTTTAAAACTATGTTGTACACTCCTCAAATGAACATATATATTATCTGCCGTAAAATGGAACATATCGGGATTAATTTTTTCTTAATAATATCAACGATGTGGGTATCAAATAAAAGAACTTGAAGAAGACTAGAACGCGAAAAACATTACAGTGGTGCGTATGGAAGATTCGGCTCTCGCCGAACTTTCTTACTTTAGAACTATCTTACTTATTTTAATATACTTCGGTCCCCGTTATAATCGATATCTGTTGTAGATGTTAAATTTATAAGAACATAATGAAACATATATCTCTACGTTGTTGTTGCTTTTGCCAATACATTTATAGGCAAATTTCTTCTTAAGTTTTAAGTGAAAATTTTGAGTCTTAAGTGAAAATGTAGATTTCAAACAAGAACTTGTGTGCTTAGTTTCAAAGTTTACATTAATATATATATTTATTAAACTCTAATTTTCTATCTCATTCCGTGAGATGTGCGAGAAGCAGCGGTAAATGGCTCTACAAGCACACGAATAGAAGTAAATCAAAAAGTAAATCAAAAACATATGAATTCTTTATGGTAAGGCGCAAATTACGAATGTATATATATATATATATATATATATATATATAAAATCACTACCCGATTGTATATAGAATATATAAGCAAAAAGAGACGTACACTTACATTTGTACCCATCTACAACGCGCTTGCAATATTCATGCAGAAATGCATTAAACGATTTAGTCGATCACATCTGCGTCAGTCAACAGGTGTAAGTTGACAAGGTGGTATAGTTGTATGTAATGAAAAGAGATGAATTTTTTGAAACCAGCTTTCGAGCCAATGACCACATTTCAAGCAAAATTCATATTTACATTATATACATATGCACAATTCCCTCAGCCATAGCAGACATACGCGCACATTCATAACATGCTTTTTAGGTCAAGTATGCACCAAAAAAAAAAAAAAAAAAACAAAGATATAGGATGAAAATTAATTTGAAGTACATATACAATCACAACTGTTTGTAAATTCATTAACTCATAAATATATAATAAATTAAGGCAACCATTAAAAAGAGTGTAAAGGTTTGAAACCATTTCGCAACTGCGTTCTTCTAGATAATATTCAAGTGATTGATAATAAATTTGGATTTTATGACTTAAGATCGATTGGAATATTTTCGAAATGAATGGAATAAACGCTAGCAATTATAAATAATCTACCCATCACTGGTTATTCCAACAAGAAAAGGAACAGAACTAAATTTTCATGCTCTACAATATACGATGAGCGCGGCTATTAAAGTATGTATGGTGTATGCGTTAAAAGCAGAAAACAAATATGTTCACAGTTTTTGTTGCATACACATGTGGGCGTTATAGGCGTACCCTTTGACCAATTTTGTAGGCGATGGAGGGAGAATGTTTACCATAAATGCTACGTATTTAAGCAGATAGTCAGGTGAACAGATGAACGGATGGACATGCTTAGGTGCATCCAGAATTTCCGCTTTAACTAATAACATTTATTGCAAGCTTCGCCTTTCGGTATCAATTCTGCGAAGTCCTAAGGACTGATCGTAGAAGTACAAAGATTTTGCACAAAAATGATCAAAACCACTTTCGTGCTAAAATTTTCAAAATCTCTGGTAAGTATTCGTATCTAAATTCCAAATCGATCGCATTGCTTCGTAAGTAATGCTTGCATACATTCTGTTCAGCGACATTTATTAGTTAAAATGATAAGCTAATGAGAAAAATCCAAAGGAGCAACAACCGCTCCCATGCGAATTGGATGAAAATAGCGTTTAGAGCCATTTCAATATTGCAGTTTAATTACCTGTCAGGCAAGAAGGGAGTAGTTTTTTGTGGCGTATTATGACTGGCGATGAAAACTCCATCTACTACGACAATCCCAAGGGCAAACAGACATGACTTCGATAGCCACGTCGATACTGAAACGAAATATTCGCGATTATAACATTTTACTATACGTATGGGGAGATTAGTCAGGTATAGTGTATTACGAGCTACTAAAACAGAATGAAACTGTTACTGCAGAATTCTGCTAATGGCAACTGAAATAATTGAATGATGTATTGTAGCAAAGCAGACCAACAATAGCGGCTATCAGACGCAAAGTGATCTTCTTGCATGGCCACTGGTAGCAAGAGTTGTCAAGGATACACTTTTGCAGCGCGAATGTGAAGTTGTGCGGCTCCCATACTCAAGCATACTCGAGCGATGCAGCATGGCTTCACGGCGGCAAGCGGTTTCGAAATACCGAAAAAGTGCAATAATGGATAAATAATTGGATAGCAGCCAAACGAATATGATTCCTTCCTCATGGTATCGACGTATTTTGCCATAATTGATTTTTATATATGTGTTGTACGAACTTTTCTCAATAAATGCTTTTTTTTAAAAGATAAAGTGATCAAAATACTTTATGTAATGCATAAACTAAAATTACATGTGTTAGGCCACTTAAAAAGACTTTGAGGTACTTTTCGCAGGATGCTGCTGATGCTGATATATAGGGAAACACTCACCTAATTGTCTTAAAGGAACGTGTGAGACGTTAAAAGATGACATTTCTGCTTAGACTTTTTGTTCAGATAATTTTCTACTGCTTTGTTCGTGTAAAGAGTTATATTGATTTGAAAGTGGACGAAATTTCTGAAGCAATACACTATGAGATGCTTTTTTACTATAAAAAAGATAAAACATGCTGAAAAATTTGTGAAATGTACGGTGAGGACACTGTGCGTTGACGGAGGAGCCAGGAGTGGGTTGCTCAATTCCGCTGTGGTCGAAAAAGTCGGTGGAATAATGCAAATGATGAATCATTTGAAAAGAGCGGGCTACAAGCAGAAACAAAGACCTATTATATGATCCATTATATGAAACGTATGCGGCAGAAGACACATGGACGGGCAAACTTGCACATGTCTAAATTAATTTGCATTCTTATACTAAGCAAGAATGTTAACATTTTGTGCAGCGATGAATAGCACGCCAAACACTCATTCTTAGTCATTACAAAATACTCCAACAGATATTCGTCGTTCGGAATTCAATTAAGCCAAAAGTGAACATTGAACGTGTGTGCATCATGCATTAAAGTAAGTTCAGCCCCTAATGATCACTTACACTTCAATACCGAATTCAACGCAATAATATTTGTATTCTAGGTTTAAGTTTTTGATCGTCCCGGGCAATAGCATCGATAAATCCTGGTAGCAAATCGCTGTATATTATAGTTGAAATAATACAGTGCGATATTCAGGTTTTATGTAATTTTTCTTTGAAAGCATAACTTAAACTAGAAAATTTAATTCGTGAATATATATAAAAACTAGTAAAAGAAATAACAACTCAGCAGTTATACAAGTTATAACAATAAACCGCAATATCTGCTCCCGATATATATATTTAGAGTCATTACCAAGAATATATATGTAAATCGAATGCATAAATAATTAAAAGTATTTGTTAGAAGTTCGACATGCATAACAATAACATGGAATTTGCAAAAAAAAAAAAAAAAATTAAACAAACTGCACCCAGAGAATTGCAAGTACTCAATGGCTTTTGCCATTTTTTTCCATGGCCCCTTCGCTATATTCCAAAAGCATTCAAATTAAACTATACCTCAAAGAAGAGCTTAGCAAAGTTTTCAATTGCTCCTCGCTCTTAACAGCTGCTTTACATCAGCTACCGATTGACAATTAGCTTTAGATCAATTTCAATATTGTTCTTCTACTGATACGCTTTGTCTCATTTTTAATTCTCTTTTACCGAAACAATATTGGGGTTCGTTAATTTGCTCATTTCATTTGTAAAAGATGAAATAAATGCTTTAAAGGTCGACCTGATCGTTGCGTCGCATTGAAAGCACGAAACACTTCCGTACCGATCGCTAAGCAATTCAGAAGGGAAAACGTTAAACATTGATTTTGGTAGCTAGAACTATATCTCCAATAAGCAGAAGCAATTCGAATTAATTATGTGACACGCCAGTTCGACACTCGAAAATCAAGAAGGGTTTATAAGCAAATTATATTCACTCTTTCGCAATTGATGCGACTATTGCCGTTTTAGCAACAGATGACCGACCAACGAACTTCCACACCGTTAGACAATTAAAGGCGACTAAATTAATATGGAATCTTATGCTGATCAAATAAGTACATTCCTTACGAGAGTTCTGATGATTAACACGATTTATATCATTACGAAATTTTTCGAATATTATTTCATTTAAGCCATAATGTTGGCTTTCCTGATTTCTTGTCACAGCTTAAAAATGCCTTCCATCAAAGATAGGCATTAAAGATTCGTTTTAATCCGTTTAAAAATTTACTTCTATTTTATCTTAAGTATCGTTTTAAGTGTTCTCATAAAAGCTGATATATCTGGTAAGTTTCTCATTAGTAGCAAGCAAAGCGGAATTTTTAATAACAAAAAAAGTGCTTCATAATCAAGTCTTTCGTTTTAATATAAACACGAAACGCATTAAGTTTTGTTTCTAGGATTGATTTGAAGAGATTTTTAGAAAAAGTTCATCTATCTTGAGACATACATTGGGGTAAATTAGAAAATGTCTTGGTTTGCAATAAATATATATATATATATATATTTACAATTAATAATTATTTTCGAATGACTTCTTATCAATTTGGGCCAAGCCCTAAAGGTTCTCAGAGTTCAGAATCAAATTGTAACACTTTTATTACTGCTGAGAGTTTTTCACAGATTATCTTATGCAAGTTTTTTTTATTTATTTTACGAATGAACTATATTTGAATCTAGATTTATAGACATTTACAGTCCCTTATATTGGAGATATCTGCGCCTTAGGAGATTACCAAGTTTACTCTGAAACGCTTATCTGGATAATGCGAAAATTTTGTAGAAAGTTATTGCACTTTAACTGTACTGCGTAGAGAATAATTGAAAACATTTTCATTTCTACTCACGTGAAAGTAATCACCTTTTAGTTAAATAATAGATAAAATGTTTGCGGAGAAAGCCCCTCAACAAGTGTTTTTATTTTTTTCTTTTTCTTTTTCGTTTCTTTTTTTTTTGTTTCTTTTTTCTTATGTATTTTCAAAAAAATATTAGACGTAAGTAAAAACCGAAACAAATTATTTATATGATTTCAATTTCAATATTCAAGTATAGCACAGCTCCATACGCATAACACTTAAATATAAAACACTTTCATTTCAATAAATTGCACACGCGTACGTACAAGCGCATGTACGCATGCATTTATAAATTCAAGATATTTTACAACAAAATGCACGCGTTTTTTCTTCACTAAAGATATTCTTGATTTTCTTTATTTTCATTTCTTTATTTCTCACACACATATCAGACTTACTCAAAATACTTCATAACGGATGATTCACGCAGCACAACGTCAGACTAATGCTTTAGTATATATCTATATACATGTATCATTATTTAACTACACTCATACAAGCAAAAACTGACATATTGTATTTACGATACAATTAACATTCGAGCACTGGTCCCAATACAATTTAACTCTCGTTTTTGTTTTTATTTATTTTTTTTTGTTTTTCTATAACGACAACATTTTACAGAAGTATTTACAAAAAGGTAAATGAAATGAAAAGAAAAAAGATGAAAAAACCGGCCCTACAAGCTATTTTATGTCGAAGACCAAACAAGCAAGTAGTTGACCGTATGCGTACTCACAGACCAAACAGACCAAGAGTTACTAAACGACTAAACTAATCGTATAGCGTACGGAGAATACGAGGCTATTACAATTAGTAAAACTTTTTTTTTTTTTTAGCTTAATAAAACTTTACTGAACACTGATCGCAAACATCATTCGCGATCATATTTTAAGATTTTTTTCATTTACAGTTCTCGGATTCACAACATGTCTCTAACTAGTTATTTGCTTTTTATTCTTTATCTTGTTTAAATTATAAAAACAATTATTATACATATATACAAACACTGTTCCTAACATTCTCTACTTCCATATCACTGTTACATTTGTATCCTTATCAATATCTTTTTCTATACTAGACGGTGATAAGCCAGTTTTACAGCATATCTCATCGAAATTTTGTAGACCAGTGTACATTTTTTGACGTCCCGACGGCACAGAGCCCGTGAACACAGGATATTTATGTATGCAACGTATAAATTTATGCTGAAGACCGAATATAACTAATTTGCGTTCATCGATATTGTGATTTTGCGGACATAAGCGTTGGCATATGGCTCTCAAAGTTACTCCGTGCGTCATGGAGGCATAGAATTGAAATATTTTCTGTATAGTGGGTTTTGTTTTGTCGGGATTTAATGCTACATACTTGCGGCAAGCATAACTTAGGGATGTACTTTGTATAAGATTTTTTAAATTCTGTGTCATGTAAACATTACTGTACTTAAGAATGGGTAGCAATTGAACAACACCATAATAAACTAAATTTTGAACGCACGATTTAACCAGATTAGTCTCTACGTCAGCTTCAGCCGCGATACGAGCTATATGATTGATGCCATTAATGTATGGAAGAATCTAAAAGTTTGTACAAAAAAATTTCAGAACAAAACATTACTTACACATATTTTATTCGCTTAACCTGTTGTGTTGTAAGATCCCAATTCTCTAAAGGCGTGTCTTTATAGTCGACCAATAAGAGAGGTACCATATGATCCTTTACTAACGGTGGATCCGGTTTATGGGTAACTATTTTCAAATAGATAGTAGTATCTCCTTCTAAAAACGAAAATCATTTTAAGTATATACTTTATTCGACAACGATCTTACCAAATTACCTACTATGGTCGTGACCCTTTGCCCATTTAAGTCTTTAATCACGGTCTCAAATATTTTCTGCAATCGTAACTTATTATCCCCCTCCTTGGAAAGGAAACAACTTTCCTCTTCCATCATAATCTATGAATAACACATAAGAGAATTTTATTTATGCATAAGGAAAAATATTATGCGGGTTTTTTTTTTTTTTTTTTTGCAATACCAAATATTCAGAGAGCTTTTTAACAACCGGTTCATATTGCACTGAACGTGCCCAGGAATCGCACACAAAGCACAAATTAAATAGGAAAGCATTACGAGCATATTTTTGCTGATCTTCAATTCCTACTGGATAACCGACAATTTTCATATCCATGGCATTAACAGTGAGTATGCAACGCTGTAAATGAGGCTTAGGGATAATATAAACATTGACAGCATCGAATACTTCTTTGGGCACATAATCGGCTGGTACCTATACGTTTCGTAGTTCAATAATATTCAACAAATGAAGATAATATTGAACATGTCCTAAAAGCATCTTCTCACCTGACAACTGATTTTGGAACCAGCTGTTGCATGAAATTCACTGAGAAATATACACCGTATTTGACCTTCTTTGCCACAGCCTTCATAATACTGTAAACTATTTGTTTGCATACTCTTTTTTTTTTTTTTTTTTGGTTCAACTAAGGCTAACTCAGCGGAATAAAGCGGAGAAACATTCGTTCAGCAACTTTATTAGTTATTTATTAATAAATGTTATTAATGAGTTTATTACTGATAACAAAAAACCAGAAAATGTAATTGCCAATATAGAGTAGCCAACTTTTCAGAATATTTACAACTATTATATATATTAGCTGTTCATTCTGCCATGCTGTCAGCAAGAATCAGTTGTTTCATACTTTCTTCGATTTTTTTTTTTTTACTTTCAACTTCCAACAGTTAGACAAAAAACATTAGACGGTAATTAACAGAATGTCTGAAAATTCTATAAATCCCGCAGAACGTCTCAAATTAGGGCCCCGAGAGGGAATAACATATCCACTAATGGTTAAATATTGTGGCAATTGCTCAATGCCAATCGAAGTATGAAGAAATTTTTCACTCCTATTGCATTTTAATTGATTTGATGCATCTTTCTTCTTTATTTAAAGTATTGCGAATATTATCCAGAGTATGAAAAATGTAAAGCGTGGCTAGAGAAAAATTTGCCTGAGCAATTCGAACGTGTTAAACTAGAAGAGGAGACAGGTGACGGCGTCGATGATGATAAGAAACGTCAAAAACGTGGTGGTAAAGGTTTAATGAAAATAAAGAAAAAAGAAGAAGTCACTAAAAGGATAACACTATCTAGAGCACCACGAGGCAAAAAGAAGTCTGTTACTGTTGTTACCGGTCTTCACACTTTCGGTAGGCGATGGCTTAAATTGCAATATATATGAATATGCATTAGAATTTATTTCCATCTTTTAAGAAATTGATCTTAAAGTGGCTGCCAAATTCTTTGGTACAAAATTCGCTTGCGGCTCTTCAGTAACAGGCGAAGATGAAATAGTCATACAAGGCGATGTTAAAGACGATTTATTTGACGTTATACCTGATAAATGGCCTGAAATCGATGTTGATCTTATAGAAGATTTAGGAGATCAAAAACGTTAAGTTATTTTGTAAAAGGCTTTTTATAATTGATTCAGTAACTTGAAATGCCACAAATTAAATTTTTAATGTAACAATTAAAATTTATAATCAGTTATTTTCTGGTGGAGGGCCTGGAAAATATTTTCTGGAGATTTGCAAAATTTCATTTACTTGCTCTTCAGTTAAACGTTCTTCGCTATCTTCAATTAACTGAAAACACATGTTGCAAAATAAGGATTAAAATAATAAAGCAAGTCGTTAGCACGTACTAATTGAATGTGCAACGCACTGGTGGGAGGATCGTTAACCATCATCAAACACTCTTTAGGCATGAGTTTATAAGATTCCATTTCTTTCAGAAATTCTATAATATTTTTACTGTTTTGATATTTACATGGTGACTCTTCCAAGTATTGTAAGGTCTATTAAAAATTATTTGTATGTATTACATATCTTAGCAGTAAAATTAAACCACTCGTTTACGTACTTTACCTCATAAGTAATTGTTGCAAGATTCCTTAAACCAAACTTTTTCTTGGTATCCTTAATATTTTTCAAAGCTTCCATTACCTCCAGATTGCAAAGCGGGCAATAAAGCGGTCGGACGCTGAAAATGATATTAAACAATAAACTAATTAAATATATCTTTAAAATTAAATATAACTGTTTACATTTCCATTTCTAACAATCTTAATAAAACTAAATTCAGCTTGTAAAACAATTTCTACAAAATTTACGAGAAAAAGGCATTGTTGCCAGGTTGCTCGTTTGTAAAATTTTCTATCCATATAGATTGTGCATAAAATTTCACACACAACACATGTAGAGTAACCGGATGGAACATATATATATATAAATAAATATATAGATACCATATTTGAAATTTACAACCGTACTTGTATCTATGTTTTCATCGTTTTAACCAACTGAACTATATTTCAAACTATTCGCGTTATTTTGTCACTATTAATAAATGTAATCGTTATCGTTTCTCATTTTCCCAATTTTAATGTATGGTCATTCAGAAGCACCTCAGCGAACAATGGGAGCTGTGCTAAATTGGGTTGACCATACTCGATGTTATGAACTGTACAAAATTAATTTTAATAAATTGAACAAAAACTAGGCCATTGTTTATTTAAAGTGTCGAATTTTTTCTCTTTTAATGGCTAATCTCATATTTATAATTTCCACATTAAATTTGCCGGCAAATATATAAATCAAAATACTCATAAAGTTCGTGGTACTCCTATACTTTCATTTTTTCTCGTTCACAGGAATTTTTTTTATCAATTTCACGGTTATTTATTCCTTTTCATATTTTATAGCACTAAAGCAAAGTTTATTTGATTTTATCCATTTTGCGATCATTTTGAAATTTCTAACATTACTTTGAAAATGCAACCAGATTGCTATTTTCGATTAGAACTAATATCTGACAATTTACTTTCGATACGATACCGCGCAAACATTCGTAGCCGTCTGACATAATAATGCTTTATTCCCTTTGTCGACATTATGATATTGTATGATACTTCAAATGAAGAAATAGATAAACCTTAAATTAGAAGTGCTTTAAAAATTATGAATTAACAAAACCTCACCAATTCCCAGGAATAAACAAGTGTTGAGGCCCTTATGTGTTAAAAAGTTCTGTCGTTGTGGCAGCTTGGATAATAATTCACTCTTGCGCCAAGTTTAGATTTTTTGGTTAAAAGCTTTTTTCAATTGGCTTTTGAAATCAAATTTCAAATTTTATGAAGGAATATCTAAATTAACAGCATAAAAAATAAAAAAAGATAGGAAGTAATAAAAATATTGCAGAAACTAGCAATAGGATACACGCGGAAGGGCTTAAACTATGAATATCGATAAACAAGAAATTGAAGACATTGGCAGTGGCTGTGAAGCCGTGTCCAAGGTTATAAGCAATAAAGACGTATTTAATTGTATGCTAATTTCTTTCCTTTTTTTATAGAATTTCAGCCAAGGAAGTTTGAGGCGTCTTGTCACATCGGAAGTCTCGCTTGATTTCAATCGAAGATACGTGAAAAAAGGTATTTTTGTTGGGGTGGTATTCGCTGC